AAAAAAAAAAAAAAAAAAAAAAAAAAAAAACGAAATTTGTTGTTCAGATGAGAGAATTTTTAGTTTTTGAAAAATCACCCCCCCCTGTAAAATGTAGCTCGCACATTACTGATGTATATAGATCATTTATATAAATCTTTGGTAATTCTTTTTCCGTTTGTTCAACTCTGAGAAAATACACATGGCCAAACTCAAAGATTGATCATCAAAGTCATCTATTTCTTCGTTTTAACTATTCGTTCTTTGCTGTTTTTAAGAATATTTAAACTAAAGTTCTATCAAAAACAAAAAAATTTTTTGTATAAAAAAATCTACAGTTAAGGAAATCTTTTATGTCTAAAACTGAATTATATCTATGGTTGGTATAGTTCTTATGAAAAAAATCATGAAATATGAATATAGCCAAAAGTTGATAGACTTCCTTATTAAATTGTTCATGCAGTCTTTCATTAGCAAGCTATTGAAAACATAATCAAAACCATTGAGAACTTTTCACATATGAAATAATTGATTCAATAAGATGAGGTGTAGTGAAATATGGTTTAATCGTAATTTTGCTTTTAAATTTATTCATCGAGTCATAGGTATTGAAATAGAATTTCTGCTAGTAAGACGTTTGATTACCTGGTTAGTTAAAATAATATTTAAAAGTTTAAAATAATTAGTTTGGATTGTTGCGATTGGCGGTGGCAGTTTTAATACGAACACAAATTGAAACAAAGTTCTGATACAAATACCATTTTCGAATTGTTTAGCAAATTGCTTGAATTTAATTGACTAATATTTATAATTTTGAACACATTTCTTTTATATATTTTTTTTTTCTTTTTACACATTGCCTTCATTAACATTATCTTACTGTTTATACGAGCCAATAAATATGTTTTTTTATAAATATTCAAAAACTAATCGTTAGTAAATTTTAATGAAAATATTGAAATATTTTAATATGAAAGTTGGTTTTATGTTTAGCTCCAACCGATCAACAAAATTCAATGTATCAGCCAGTGAGTGACAGCTATGCCAACAGTAACGGTATTCCTGTCGTTCCAGTACCTGTTCCAAGCATGAAGGAATCAGCTGATATAGTGAATTTCCACGCGAATCAACGTTTACGTTTGACTCAATCAACTCCTGGTATGTTGACCCAAAGAACAATTTGTAATTCAAATTCACCCATTACCAGGTAGTTTCAGTCATTTTCACGGTTGCCACAGCGTAACATTCAGGTGTGAATACATGAAAACGAGGAACGACAATCATTAGTATCAATTGGAATGTATATGGATTTTTTTAAAATTAAAATAATATCTCACTTTGAGCTCCTTTCCTTCGTACAACCGTTGTACTGTTCATATGAACGCACAAACAAGGCCATAAAATTTGTGTAACAAGCCTAGCTACGCTAACTAATCGTTATAATATTTGTTTTATCTAATAATTTATGGATTCAATGCTGTTGCTTGTTAATTGACATTGTTTGGTGGTCTTCTCAATGAATCAGGCACTAGTACGCCAAACATCCAACAAAAAATGAATAAACTCTATTGTCAATTGATTCATACCTTTGAGCATAATGCATTTTGCAGCAACAATATCGCGGTGCCAAACATATGTGGAGCAGCAACATCACCCTGAACATTTAATAGCCAATTTTTGTAGGTAACTTTAAGCTTTGACATTAAACGCCCATTCCGAAGTATTTCGTCCATATCCTGATGATTGCCATTGCAAACTCGAAGCTTAATTTCCTTCCGTCCCTTTTGCAAAGCACGTTTGCTTACCATTGCCACAATTATATCTGGTATTCTAGCGATTGAATCCGGTAGTTCAGCAATCGGTTTCGCTTTGCAACCGTAGCACACTTTGAATCGATGCGGTTTTGTGTTCACTGGAAATCGTTCTTGGCAATTCGCGCATGTTTGTGATGTTCCCCATTCATCTTCCATTTTCACCACTGAATGGCCAAGTTTCTTGACTCTCACCAAAAAAAATCGCAATTCTGGACTTTTTTTCCATCTCTTCAAACCAAATGGCCGATTGGGTGGCATCTCTGATGCACCAAATACAATTATTGACGGCTCGTTGTTGATCACTGTCACGGCGATGTTATCATTTAATTGGTTCGACTTCATGTAATGATCAAAATCCAGTCGTGAATATTTACTCGTTGCATATGCTGACATTCCTTTTCGTAGCATTTTGATGCGATACTCAGTGTACCATTGTCATGCTGAATTACGTGGTGTTGGTGGACCGAATGGGTATGTCTTCAGATGATTCTTTTCTTCGATATCAAAACATCCAGCCATATTTTCGCCTCTTTTTCTCTTTGTTTCTGCCGAGTTTCCCAGTAGAATCGCGTGTTTGGTATTGTGATGTTTTCCTTCAAAATCATAAAAACAATTAGTTTCGATTAAAACACATTTCAAGTTAGATTTCAAAATATCTCACCTCAACGACCGGTCCATCAGGTGTTTTTCGGATGTTGCGACGCGTTATAGCCAACCACGTTTTTTCATTCGGATCGATGCGAACGTTTTTTCATTCATTGACGTTGCATTTTTCCGAACAACCACAACGATTCAAACCAATGATCCTTTACAAAAATTTCATGCATTTTTCACGTCGCCATCCAATTGCGACAAGATCATCCAATAAAATGATCTTCATTATCTTGAATAAAACAACTTGAATAAAATCAAAAGTGAGGCCAATGAGACAACTTCCGTCATTTGAAGACTGCACTCAAACAATATTTGAGTCATAACTGCTGCATGCTCGGGTCGAAGTATTGTTTGCAAGCCACATTTTATTGCAACGAAATTATTTTCTCTTTTTTCTTCGTCATCGTTCAACACCGACTCGTTTTTATCTTTTTTTGTTTTCATTCTCGAAGAACTGATACAAATAAACGAAAATAAAAAATAGACACATACTTAGAAAAAAAATGCACCAAATATAGCATAGATCACAATCACAATAAGATATAAACACTTCTATCATAACTCAAATGGAATAGTAATGAAGAACGCATCATAAATATCACATCTTACCTCAACAAAGTGACTCTGTGTTCCAAATCGAATGATGAAATTTATTTCCAATGTGACATCAAATATTTTCCCGATCGAAATGTTGTTGGAATATTCACAGTAAATTTTGTCAACACTCTGTTATTTCGAAATTAAAACAAAAATGAACACAAAATCATCTGTGAATATATCCAATCCAAGCCGAACAATAAATCAATTGCTACAAATACTCACATATGTATAATTCTCAAGAAATCCTATTGAAAACAAAACAAAGTTTTATTGTAAACAAAATCGATTGGTGCGATAGTTGTTTATACTAACAATACTGTCACAAGATGCGAGGACATTTTTAATACATATAAATGAATATCGTTGGATTTGGTTTGACACATATACACTGCGCCAATCGAAAAATGTTGGAAAGATGTCAGTTGCATTTCGAAAATTCAAAATACTAATAATTCCACAAATAAAGAAAAATAAATGCAATAAATGCAAGGGGAAAATCAGTAGTGAAATACTAAATATACTCAGAAGTATTGAAAAGTACCGAAACGTATCAAAACATACCAAAACGTACCAAATAGGTATTCGTTTCAAAAAAATAGTGAATAATTTTTTCGTGTTTTCGACTGTCTTTTTGGTGTTACATTACAAGCTTGTATGAAACTCTCGGAGACTCGGTATAATGCACAAAAAAGTGAAAAAAATGTTTTTCGATATTTTTGTGCACTATACCAAGTCTCCGAGAGTTTCATATAAGGTTGCCATGAAGCAGCAGAAAGACAGTCGAGAATATTGAAGAAAAAATTCGTCTTTTCGACTGTCTTTCTGCTTCTACATGGCAGGCTTATATGAAACTCTCGGAGACTGGGTATAGTGCACAAAAATATCGAAAAAAATATTTCACTTTTTTTGTGCATTATATCGAGTTTAAATTTGTTTTTAAAAAACGACAAAACTTCTTTATCCGCAAAGTCCATCAAATATCAAAGATTTTAAAATAAAACACAATTTGTTTTAAGTATATTGCACCTTTATGACTTTGCCAATTTAATTTCAAGAATTCTATTCAAATAAATAACAATAATTGAAACAATGGTTCGGATGCATTTCGACAATGTGTCATCCTCAGCGAGTACATTCAAACTAAGCAAAAACATTTTTATTAAAGTGTCGTAAGGTAGAGAGTGTTAATTAATTACAACAAATACTATAATGCTATTTGAAAAAACGTTCGACTGATTTAAATAACGGTGATCTGATCGGAGCGTCCATCGTGTTCATTGACACGCTACGGTTCAAGTACATATAGATGCTCTCGTAAGCATCAAGTTTGTATGCATCGTTTACTTGTTTTTTCAATTTGACGTTGTTTATGTACTCGCTGAGGATGACACATTGTCGAAATGCATCCGAACCATTGTTTCAATTATTGTTATTTATTTGAATAGAATTCTTGAAATTAAATTGGCAAAGTCATAAAGGTGCAATATACTTAAAACAAATTGTGTTTTATTTTAAAATCTTTGATTATATCGAGTCTCCGAGAGTTTCATACAAGCTTGCCACGTAACACACCAAAAAGACAGTCGAAAACACGAAAAAATTATTCACTATTTTTTCGAAACGAATACCTATTTGGTACGTTTTGGTATGTTTTGATACGTTTCGGTACGTTTCGGTACTTTTCAATACTTCTGAGTAAGTATTTCAGTACCGATTTTCCCCTTGAATAAATGACGTCGGCAGAGTTTTAAATTAAATTAGTTACTTAAACAAGTGGATCCATCCCATTGGTATTCGTGGAAACTATGCATATAATCTCCATTCCATTTGATACGAAAATGACCACCAGAATGGGCCAAAACGTTACATTTTTCAACATTAAAATCTACTAAAAACATTACAAATTTGTTTGTACTATATTTGATTTCTTTTAATATCGATTTATTGGAAATTGAATGTAACAACGTTATCGAAAGAACGAATCAAGCGTATAAATCAGATATCTCTTTAGTCGATAGCAAATATTCCGGAAAATGATGAAAGTGTCTCCGGATCTTCGTTTGGATTAAAAGATCATAACAGAATTTGCGAAGCTGTCGGCTGAAGAAATATCTGATTTATACGCTTACTTGATTCGTTGTTTCGATAAAGTTATTACATTCAATTCCCAATAAATCGATATTAAAAATTAAATACATTTGAAGGTTGTTACATTTAATTTGTAATAAATCGATATAATAAAAAATACATTTGAATTAATACATTTAGGCAGCCCACAAGAGCATGGACGACCGACTTCATTCGATGTGATTGGTTCAGCTGAGAGTCTTGTTGGACGAGTATGAAAATAATTCAATTACTATATTTCTCTTATACACAAATATTTCTGTTTTACTTTGATTTATCATTGAGCAGGTTCTTGTTGAACAGGGACTTGGAAAATTTTGTGATCCCGATTTTATTCGATATACATCGCGTGAAATGCAAGAAGCTTTAAATATGACCAGTGAAGAAATGGATATGGCTGCACATCAGCTCATACTTCAAAATCACTTGGCAAATTCCTAAATTGCCTAGAATCATTGTTCCGCTTTAGATTGATATATAAACTATTTGGTAGGATGAAAAATATAAATATTTTTAAACACCATAAATTTAATACTGATACACAAAAATTGTTTCAAATATAAGTGCAACAAAAGAGATGAAATTTAAAAACTTAAAAAAATATATAAATATTTTACTCTTATTGGAAATAATTTTATGTTGCACTTTTATTTGTAAAAATTTTAAAGATAGTTTTTCATCCCACCGACTTACTTATTAGAAAAGAGTGTCATAAGAATAATACTAATATGTGTGTTGTAAATATTTGGCCCAACCAGTCACTGCTATTTTTCTGTTCGATCAGTTTTCGACTTTTTGCTAATTCAAACTCAGAATAAACAGAACTCTTATCACCATATTTTTTTCCTATTTATAAATAATTTTCCAAATACTCTTCATTTTACGTGTTTAGTATTAATTGAATAATGTATATTTTAATTAATTTCAAAATGGGAAGTTGTACAGAAGAGATTATTGATTTATGTCAAAATCATAAATTCTAATAATAAACTCTCTTAACTTCAAAAAATAATAATTTCTTCGACACAGATAACAACAAAGTAAAATAAAAACAAATAAATCAAACTTATTCATAGTCTTTTAAAATAGCATTTTAAAATTATTGACGCATGCTGCTCATTAACATCATAAATAGGATACTCGTAGAATCCATATTTTCTATTTATCCGTTAATTATTTAAAAAAAACCTAACTTTAAAAAAAAAACAAATATAATGCAATCAAAAACGAGGTCAAATAATATATTTTAAACGAAATAATATTAAATATTGATCGATAGCCTCAATAATAAAAGACCATTACAATAAAATAATTAACATTAAAGGAAATGGATAAAACCGTTTACCTTGAGAGCATCACTCATGAGAGTTGCAAAAATAAAAAGAATGAAAATCACATCACAGTATAAGAGATTTAGTTATTTGAGAAGAACATATATATGTTGATGTCATAATTATCATTGCTTTTTTTATTTAGAGTTTTTAGATATGCATTGCATATTATGCAAGCGCAAATAAATTTGTTTTGAGATTTATATTATTTTCCAACGATGCATCATTGCCTAGATATATGCTTTGCATAAAAAAGCATATACATATCTGTCTGTATACGGTCACACAGAGCTGATGCTTTGTGGCTTACGTAGACTTCAGCGTGTAAAGGAACAGAGTGACGGTGCTGTGTTGTGTATAACGTATATCGTGCGTGTGTATTCAATATGTTATACGCCACACACAACACAGCTCCGTCGCTCTGTTCCTTTATACGTTGCAGTATGCGGATATTTTTATGCTGCCTATTTTTATGCAAAGCATATATCTAGGCAAAGATGAATCATTGTTATTTGCTGTAAATAATTGAAAGAATTTAATGTGAATGTATATACAAAAGATTGTGTTTTTAAAACGAATATACAGAGGAAAAACGTACCACGATAGATTATTGACCAATATAAGTAACAAATAAAACACATTTGATATAATATATATTACTCATATTTAGAAATTATAATCAAAATTTGACCTAAAATAAATTCAAAATAATTATTTTCTTTTCAATTCAAGGTGAAATACAAAAAAATAATGAGATATACACGACATCTTTTTTATATTTATAAATGTATTCGTTATTATATCTGAATTTATCATTATTAACAACAAATGATTTTCACATTGGCAAAAACAAATTAATTCCTCACAAATACAGAAATTTTTAGAACAAATTTCAAATACATTTAGTTTCAGTTGAGCATTTTTTTATGGGATTTTTTTTGCGATTCCCAAAGGTAAGTTTAAAATATATAGTGAATAGAACAAGCTATAGCATAGCATAATTCATCAGCATATCCAAATTATGGACATCTTTGTGAAAATTTATATGAGGGATATTATTTTAAAAACAAAATAACTCCATTTTTGCGAGCATATAAATCATCTTGTATAAAACAACACAGAGGAAATCCCTTCTAAAACCGTCAAATCATTTTCTCTGAACAATATTGATATGTAAAACTCTGTTGGTTTGCTGGCAACACTGCGAACTTGATATCAGAGCAAAACAAGTAAACATTTCGTTTACGAAATACAATAGCAATGAAGTTGTGTATGTGTATATGTGAAGCATTCTCTCAACTGCCAAGAAGTATATTGAATTCATCTGTATTGTACTGTGTTATAGCACATTCTATACATAGAATATCAACACGCGAGAATGTTTGAATGTCTGACGTTGTATGCAGTTGTCAAAATGCTTACACATACAGTAGTAGTACATTTCACACAGCAGCTCCTGTGGCTCAATCATCCTCCATGTTTATTCTCTCGTAATACGAACGGATTTTAATATGGCGATAAGTAAATGCACAAATAAATTTTCAGTTTTGATGGGCCACAATATCAATAGTCAAGTTTTATCAATAAAACAAATTTATGGAGATTGAATTGTGTACCAGCTATCCAATTCAAAGGTGTTTTTGTGGATTGTAAGAAAGACACGAAAGAAACAGATATATGAGACAAAAACGAGAAGGAAACAGATGTATGTGAGAGAATAGAAAAATATTAAAAACAAAAACAAGTGTACAAACAACAAAGCTTCGGCATAAATTAAAGAAAACAAAATTTTAAGCTGAAATTATTGCAAAATGAGTGACAAACGCAGTGTTAAATATATTAAATGAATATATAATATTTATATATTATTATTATTACAAGTTATTTATACAATCAGAGAGTATTTTCGTAAATAATTGTGACAGCACATGAAATATTCACAAAAATAAATACTGATGATAGCATAGGGTCAGTATTCGAATTTCTCACAAATGACAATCAGATAATTCCAAAAATATATAATACGCAAAATACCACAATAGAACAACTAATATTTGATGTGACTAAGAGCATTTTCCATAAGAATGCATCGAAAAAATTTCGACACAAAGCAACCAGATGAAGCGAGACTCGCGCTGACCGAGCCATCAATCGTTGCCTCCTTATCAACATCAACATTATCATCAAATGCTAAAGCGACGGCTGACTTGTGTACTGAAAAGAAGCAATTAAATGACGATTCAAAAACTATTGTTGCAAATATTAAGGTATTAAATTGTGATCTTTAAATCACAAAAAAAAAATGCATGTCTACCACTTTGATAATAATATGGATAACTAACTTTGAAATTTCTTCAATCTATGTAAATGCGTATAAAATATTTCTCAATCGAGACATCTGTAAAAACAAATTTTACGTCCTATTTACTGACCTAGGTGGTCCATTTAATGGTTCGATTTGCAATAACAGAAATCGCACATTAATTTTACTGAAAATATAATGAAATCACGTCTTAATGTCATCATGAACTGATCCATAATCACGTAAAAAGACAATTGGAGACTATTTGTATTATTTTGTTTTAGGACATCTTTATACAATCAATTCACTTTAAAATCCCCCTTTTGATAATGATTAACGTCTTCCATTAAAATGTAGTTTCAATTCACTGTTGTTGAAGTGTCGGTTATTTTTTTTAGATTTGACCAATATTCTAACAACTTTTATGTGCAGTGCAAGTACGCAATCAGTTATATCAGCCCTTGACCTCTTTTCATAATATCACGCGTTAATTGAAATTATACAATGATTATTCAACCAAAAAAAAACCATCTGGTTGAATGCAGGTATATGGCTGGTTTCGAACGCATTCTTAAATCAAAATATTTGATATCCAGTACAAAAGTCACATTGAAGTAAACGTGTGAGTTTTTATAATGATGACTTCAAATTGATGTAGATTTCAAAACCTCAGTAGCGAAATTATCTCTATTTGATATATTCAACTAAAATTAACAAAGAATTGAAGTAACGCCTTCGATGATTTTGTTTAGCTAACGTCTAAAGTCGTTCTACCTATATCAATTACATTTCGTTACATTTTATCTTTAATCATTCTTAACTAATTGAACATTCACTATATTCTTGTTTTAGAATATTCTGACACAACTACCGAATCTAACGGATAATCGAATAGGATTGCTTACAGCGGCATGGCTTAATCTTCAAAATTTGATTCAAAATAAAAACGAAGATTTTAAAAACTGTATGCAGTGGATAATCAAATACACCTTGGATTCAATGCTAACGGTATTGAACCCTTATTAACATTTGATTCTCAAAAAATCAAGTTACAAACTCAATTGCCAAATTTAATTTTAGGAGCTTACAAAATCAGATGCCGGAGACTTAGAAGAATTAAAGATTAGAATAAATGAATGTGCATCATTGGTTCAAGAAGAAGCGAATTTTTGGTATCGGTGCAAATATATTCTAGAAAATATAGATGCACCATGGTCTCATCCAACATTACAGTTAATATTCAATGATGGCAAAAATTCTCCAACAATCATATCAAAAGAGCAACTTGAAAAAGGTAAGAATCACGTTTTTAAAATATGATTTATATTAATAAAATTATTTTTGATTTTATCTCTCTCTCTATCTCTCTTCAGAAATTGAATATTTTACGATCGAACGAGGTTGCATGATTGATATGCGAGTGAAAAAGTTGATCGCGTCCAAATGTGATAGATTCGCAATGAATTTTGTAACGGAAGCTTTACGTGCTATTCAAACATGTACTGATGACCATATGCTGCGGCGTGTTGTTTCATTGGGCCAAAATCAGAGTCTCCTTGAAATTTACTTCTCATTTCTCTATAAATTTAAGGAGTCATCGCGTCTTAAAGTCGAATTGGAAGCTATGCACCTGGACTCAGCAAAAGAGTTTATTTTAAATTGTTTTGCAACTATTGATTTTTATGAGGCTACCAATCAAAGACTGCGATCAACAATACACGCTTCAAACGCTATGAAAAAGGCTCATCCGGCGGCAGCACGTTTGCATAAGTATCATGTTTCGGTGAGCCAATATGCATTGCAGCTTATTTTGGTACGACTATTAGCTGGGGAATATGGCAACGATGGTGTGGAGGCAACATTTAGAGACTTACTAACTGAATGGATCCGAAGAAACAGAGAACAGGAAAACTTCGATAAACTCTTCCACAAATTAATTCAAACTGCGTCATCAAATTCTCGAATTTACGAATGTTGTGAGATTCTCTATGATTTGGTAAGAATACTGAACAAATTTCCAAATTAAAAAATGCCAGATTATTACAAAGTTAACAATCAAACTAAAAAGTTGGTAAAAAATTGAGTCTTATGTCAAATTTAAATATGCATATTAATGTGAGTAAAAGATAGAAAACCGTATAGACTTCACCAATATCTTTTTTAAAACTCGATAAACAATCAGTAGTACTTGGTATACCACAATATTAACTTTACACTCTCTTCATTATATGTGAAAGTTTAAATTTTTTAGGGTTTTGTAAGTAATTAAATTTTATTGTTGATTTTCTATTTATTTAATTTCAGTATCCAAATGATTGTGAGACAGCATTACGGATATTTTGTTCAGAATTAACAAAAGAAATCAATATATTGGAACACAAAAAATATGATGAAACGGTCAATGCTTCAGTTATTTTAAGTTTAGAAAAGCAAACTTCTTCGCGCTACCTTACCTTGGGTAAAATTCTTCATGCTCATAAAAAATTAGAGAAAGAATGTGTACTAACAGCATTCTCAATGAACCCAACACACGAATGCTTTCAACTGGTATGCAGTTTGGCAACCGAAAATCTAGCACCACAGGTATAAAATTACTATTCCATTAATGAAGAAATGTTATCCATTTTTTCGATTATTTTCATTTGTTTCTACGTGATTAACCCTAGGTAACACCACATTTGGAAACAATAGATGCATTGCCAACGATAATATGCACCGATATGCTGTTAAATTCAAAAGAATATGATGCTTTAAGGGCGCCAAATCGTTTATTGGACTCATTAACATCCATTTCCGAAGAAGTTCGGTCGGATTTGGTGTGTTTGTTAACAGTGCCACGAATTAAAAATCTCAATTGGCTCGTTCCATGGCCAGAACTTAAGCAGGCATGCGAAGAGCTATTATTTACCGAAAGAAAGAGACAAATAGTTGAGAAAACGACGGCCGGTGCAAATGATAATCTAAAATATATCAATGATAATCTGAATTATGATGATTTCAAGAATTTTGCACCGCATGAATATCCAGGTATTGAGAAAGGATACGAGATTTATGTTGCCAACAGTGATAGCGATGAATCGCCTGTACTTGGAACTGGAGACAGTGATAGTGATGGTACTGATACTGCTCCAGAATCAAAGCAATTTATTGTTAAAGAAGAAAAACGTTTGCGAGACCGCAAACGACGTTTGATTCGCCGAAGCCAAAAATTATTGGAAATGAGTGAAAATAATATGCAACCTGAAAAGATGTCAAAAGAATTGGATCAGAAGAAAAAGAAACCAAGACGTCTGAAACAAATGACCAGTGATAGCTTGAAACCTGGAAAATCAAATCGAAAAACTCAATCAAAACAGCAGTTGTATACTGAATATAATAATATCCAAAAGGATACAACGTCAAATTTTGGAAATATAAACAATAAAGTAGAATCGAGTTTGGATATAAAAACTGAACCATTGGATGATCATTTGGAGATTCAACATGATGGTGATGTATCTGAGACTTTTGTCGATCGTTCAAATATTCCACATTTAAAAAGTGAAAATTGTACAATCAACAACAGTTTTTTTGAAATCACACAAAATCAATATGACGACCACGTCCAACAAAGCCAAAGGAACGGTACTTTCGCAAAAAATGATATAATGCCACTGAGCAATTTTTCAGAGCTCACTTGTCTCCCTCAACAATTTGAACAATCAGATAATGAAAGTACAACAATTTGCTACAATACAGAGCTAGTCAATAGTATAATTTTTGATGAGTCAAAAAACGAATCACCCGAACAGCCGTTTTCCAAAATTTGTGATGAAGATTTTGATGAAGATGACAAAGCCAACATACATTTTCAACACATCGTTATGAACAAAATACTTGGACTGAATGAAAAACAAGTTTCACATTTTACTAATGACGATACAGTAAATAATATTGAATTGAATCAGGAAACGAAGTCAAAATCACCAGTGATAAACGAACTTTGCCCATTGAAACCGTCTGTTGAAATTGAAAATATTGCATTGCAAAATAGTAGCAGCAAAACTTTGTGTGATGTGCCATATACATCGAATATTACGATTTCAAACCCAAATGTGCAGAGTTCGAAACCAAAGAAGAATCCGTTATTGGCATTCCGGAGACCAAAGAAAATCCCCAACAAATCAAATGACATGTTTGCTAAAGAATTAAATGAATACACAAATACAATAACTGAAAGTTTACCAAATTCATTCAACCTAGAAGACAACAGTCAAAATAACATGACAGAAAATATGGATCACAATCAAGAGAATAATATTCTTACATGCGTGACTGATCAAAAAGTTGTATCTAAATACCAGGTATGTCATAGTTGCACACAACAAAAATAAAAGTGGTAGATTCTCTACACTGTAAAACTGAAGGGATTAGAAATTAATCTTTTTGGATTTTTTAAATAATGTGCGCAATTTTGCGTTCTCGATTCTGATCTTTTTGAAAGGAGCGAGTACGACGTTTCCCCCTTTGCTAAGCGAAATAAATCCGATATACGGCGCTGATTTAAATGTCACTCTATGTCATTCCACAATGATACATTTTTTGGCTTGACAATATATAAGCTCTTCATTCAACATGCATAATTTTTGAACGGTCGAGTAAAAAAAAGAAATATATCATAAAATATTCTTTTTACGTTTATCATAAAAATTCTCTATATTTTAAATATATTTGTTTAAAAATAACAATAATTTCAATTTTTTTCATAGATTGAACAAGAATCTAATGTAAAAAGTAATACCAATGCGACACCTACCGTTAAAATAGAAAAGGAAACTTATTTGGAATTGTAACATTTTGGTCCGCCATAACAGCATCTTCGTTTTGCTTCTCTGTGATTGGTCAAGTAAAACGAAGATGCTGTCATGGCGGACCAAAATGCTGCAATGGAGACCAACTAAGTTTCTTTTTGCATTTTTACGGTAGGTGTCGCATTGTCATTACTATTTACATTGGATTCTTATTTAATCGATGAAACATTTTTTGTTGAAATTATTGTAATTTATAAACAAATTAATTTTTTTATAAAAAAAAAAATTAATAAATTTTTTAATGAAAAATGTTAGAAAAATATTTTATGACATGTTTTTTTTTCAACGATTCAATAATTATGAATGTGTATGCATTTTAAATGAAGAGCTTATATATTGTCAAGCCAAAAAAGTATTATTGTGAAATGACAGAGTGACATTTACATCAGCGCCGTATATCGAATTAATTTCGCTTGGCATAGGGGGAAATATTTTGACAGATAGTACTCGATCCTTTTCTGAAACTAATACTTTTTTGTTCCGGAACTTTTCGATATGGCCGCCATGTATGCCGTGGCCGGCCTCCAAAAGTCACTTTTTGACTTTTTTCCCTACGGACACCGAGGCACATCCACTTGACACACGCCGGACATATGCATATCGTTGGAAAGGTCTTGAAGTGAGCTATCGAATGGTGCCGTTTGCGGTCCAAAAATTTCAATGTGGGATGGCCAAATTGGCCAAAAACCAAAAAGTTACCGTTCGGCCGGACACATGACGTCCATTACCTCGAAAACAAGGTCAACGATTTTTTTGAAAATTTCACCGATTTTGGGTCCAAGTCTAAGCTATAATAAGCTGCATAGCTCATATCCCAGAAAATTCTTGTTCTGAAGATATGACCTTTGGTATTGCAAATATGGCCAAAAATGGCAAAAATGACAAAAAATGTTATTTTTAACATTTGAAGTATTTTAACTTAAAATTTTTAAGGGCCAAAATGTACTCCAATGACTCTGTAAATATGCTCTGTGACTAGCCAAACAAAATTGAACAAAATATCGACCGTTTGGATGGCTATTCCACCAAAAATCGGCCAAATGTACCAAAATTCGAATTTTCACAAAAATGTCTAGATCTATGAAATATGAAATTTTAACAACTACAATAACTACATGTTTGATAGTCTCCTCGCATAACACCTATCTATCGAGGTGAAGAACGAGTGACGAAACCAAAATTTGAAACACAAAATTTCTGATATCAATTTTGTGACGAAAATAGTTGGTAGAGTTCATTGACACTCGGAACGACCTGAACTGCTTTAACATCCAAATATTACCAGAATCTGTCCACCATATATTAAGCACTATGGATAACATATCACCAATTTTTCTCCGTGAATGTGCAGAGGTTCTGGCATATCCATTGAGCTTGATCTTCAATCAATCCATCAAATCAGGATGTTACCCCGATATTTTCAAGGTTGGTCGCATCACACCAATATTTAAATCCGGTAAGAAATCGGATATTTCCAATTATAGAGGCGTCACAATCATGTACAACCTTGCCAAAGTTTTTGAAAAAGCCGTCTATCATCATCTAAAATTGACCATTATGCATAAATTGTCGAAACAACAACATGGATTCATGTCAAAAAGATGCATTGAGACAAATTTAATGGAGTTCACTAGCTTCGCGCATGAAGCATTTGAGCGCAAATCTCAAATTGACGTCTTTTATGTTGACATCAAGAAGGCTTTCGATTCCATTAGTCGACCTTTACTAATTCGCAAATTGGCCAAATTTTCAATAAGTAACGAGACGTTAAACTGGCTGAATTCATATACAGGGGGTAGAAAACAGTTCGTCAAAATTGGAGCGTCATATTCAGAACCATTCACAGCCCATTCAGCGGTAGGTCAGGGCACTATTTGTGGCCCACTACTTTTCTTGGCGTTCTTTGATGATTCCGATTGTCATAATCAGCATACCCGCTACTTCAACTTCGCTGATGATAAGAAAATTGCCGTTGAAATTAGATCCGAAGATGATGTCAAAAAGCTCCAAAGGGCGATTGACGATTTCGTCGAATGGTGTCATATAAATAGACTCGATTTACATATTGGAAAATGTAAAATAATGTCATTTTATCATGGAAATTCATTCATTCAAAACAACTACAATATTGATGGTATTCCAATTGAACGAGTCAATGAAATCAGAGATCTGGGCGTTCTTATGGATCGGAAACTTAATTTCTCCACCCATATGGAATTTGTGAGAAAAAAGGCCGACACAATGTGGACATTTGTTAAAAGAGAATGCTACAGATCTTTCAACGTGGACATTGCGAAAATACTATATGGATCTCTTGTAAGATCTCACCTGGAATTTGCCAGTGTGATCTGGTCACCTCATCAATTAGACTACAAAAATCATGTTGAAAGTACTCAGAAAAATTCCGTGATATATCTTCGGGGCGACTACATTAATCGACGGGAAAACGGCTTCATATTATCATCGTATGCTACAAGATGCACTGAAATGAATATCGACACTCTAGCGAGAAGAAGAGTCAACGCCATGGTACTGTTTATGAAAAAGATCATATCCGGAAAGTTCGAGTCTCCAGATCTTGAGCAGAAATTAAAGTTGAACTTGGGCATACGAACATTAAGAAATCCCGAATTCATTAAAATCAATTTCTCCAGAACGAATTACGGTCTTAATTCACCATGGAACTCGGCTTGCAGAGCTTTCAATTTTGCCGCACTTCACATAGATCCCACTCTACCATTCGATGAATTTAAACATGCTCTACACAAAAAAAATTTTCGTCTTTTCGACCGTCTTTGTGCTGCTATATGGCAAGCTTATATGAAACTCTCGGAGACTCGGTATAGTGCACAAAAATATCGAAAACATTTTTTTCACTTTTTTCTTGCATTATACCCAGTCTGAGAGAGTTTCATATAAGCTAGTTATGTAGCAGCACAAAGACGGTCGAAAAAACGAAAAAAAAAATTCAATATTTTCGACTGACTTTCTGCAGTTACATGGCAACCTTATATGAAACTCTCGGAGACTGGGTATAATGCACAAAAAAAGTGAATTTTTTTTTTTCTTACGGGAGTCAATTTTGCTTATTTTCACAATTTCCCATCGGAAAAGCGGGAAAAATCGATTTAAGGTTTTTCCAATTTACATTTAGTATCACAATATTTGTTTATTTTGAGAAAATAAATTTTCATAAATTACGAACGAACGAACGTGATCGTTGTTCGTTGTTCGTACGAACAACGAACGAACAATCCGAACATTTCAGTTTCTACGAACGAACGAACGAACTCAATACAATTCTACGAACGAACGAACGAACAAAAAGACCAAAAAAATATTCTACGAACGAACGAACGAACGTTCGTGGACAGCTATGTTCGGAACGTTGCTTTATTCATCAGTATGAACTCAAAATAAAAAGGAGAGAATTTCTGCAACGTTTTGAATACACAATGTATCTTAAGTTTATATTCCCAGTTCACAGAAAATATATCTACCAACTATTTTCGTCACAAAATTGATATCAGAAATTTTGTGTTTCAAATTTTGGTTTCGTCACTCGTTCTTCACCTCGATAGAGGTTTTTAATTTGATACATATACACAAGCATCACAACAGAGTAAAATATGCTGACCAAATAGTGAAAACCCCAATACATGCGTGCAATCACCCGCTTCGTCGCTGTGATGTACACCTTAAGCGTACATGTGATGATTGCGCATTTATTGTTTCATTCACGCAACCGCTGCTCTGCTTTGAACTGTATGTTTCGCACCGTGAAATCGATGATAACCAATAAATCGAATTCAAACAAATAATTTGTTACACATTATTTTAAGTATTGTTTTAATATTCCAATTGGGCATTTTTTCTATATATTTGGGATTAGAATTTAATCCTTTTGGATTTTTTATTTAAAAAAAATCCAAAAAGATTTATTTCTAATCCCTTTAGTTTTACAGTGTATGGTATGTGGTAGGCACAGAGTTTACTACATAATAAATAAAATTTACCACAATGTTTTACATGTATACACATATTAGGTAGACTTTACTATAAAGAATCTACCACATTTTATGTGTGTGTGTTTTGGTTATTTAAGTATATGAAATAAAAGCACATCAATTGAATTTTCATGTGTAGTTCAACAAACAAATTGATGAAGATCTTCAAAATACAGAAATGGATACATCTTCTTCGATTGTCATATTGACCAAACATTGTACAGTTCGTTTGAATCGAATTCCCAATTTAGATAGAATGGATAGTTCTGTGAGTTTTGTGTGCTTTTAATGATTTATTAACTTCATAATAGCAAACAATTTATGTATCATTTTATGATTCAGAAACAGATTCATTTGGCTCCTTTGGATTCATCATCAAATAAGAGCGACGATTTCAATGTCAAATTTAACTATGATCAACTAACGAATGGAAAATCTTCCTCTGATAACACATCACAAAGAAGTCAAAATTCGAACGAAGTGAAAATTCCAGCTGAAGAAGATGAAGATGAGGATCGTAAAACCAATCTTCTATTACCATACAGTTCAATAAACAGTAGTCACAATAATTATGGCAATGATGATGATGACGATTGCAATAGTAGTGAAGATACAAAAACTAATTGCCCAGGCGAACATGTCAGCCTTAAAACGGAACAAAATAGCGGTGAAAAACAGCAGCAGGTGTGTTTTCATTGTCATCGCTTAAATTAAATTACACTACTTTATTTGAAATGAAAAGGAGATATCTATATAGGTCATGCTTGGGATACATTGCATTTTCCAAATTTTATTTTTTTTTTTGCTTGCAGCAAAAACAACAACAACAAAAACAGCAGCAAAAACAACAACAACAGCAGCATCACTGTACGGAATCGAATAAACATGAATACAAAATGCTTCAACACATGTCATCCGAAAAGCAGCTTTGTTCGAAACAAACTTTTCTTATGCAAAATCGCAACTCAGATAATATGGTAAAACATTTAAAATGCAGATAGAGAAAAAAATCAAACATTTCCTATATTTTTTTATTTTTATTGTTTTGATTTTTTTTTTGCTGTGTGAAAGAATTTGAACGATTTTTTATTGAAAAAATGAAATCGATTTATTTGTATTGATTAAAAAACAAGTTCTGAATGAATATTATTACGTTTCTTTTTGTTATGTTTTTTATTTAAATTTTTATACATACTATGCCAGCCTACGGATAAGTACCCGTATTTTGGTTCAATGCCTCATATTCAAAGCAACTAACACATTTCCATAAATTAATTCCTAAATTAAGTGTTGATTGAATATTTTTGATTGAGAGCTGCTAATATGGTTGAAGATTTCCATGGAGTGGCAGAGATACAATGTTGATATTGTGAACTGTTCAGTGTTCACTGAACAGGTCTCCTATGGTTAAATTGCCTACAAAGACTAACGACAAATGATTAGACCAAGAGCCACTCCAACAAGTAACTTTTTTTTTTTTTGCTTCATGTAAGAAAACTATATTGAACCATGCAGCTAGACATACACTAAACA